ATTTATTACCTTTTATAATTCAAATTTCAGCTTACTTCAGCTTACTTAACTTCATTCACTGATATATATTAGTACAAAATAATATGACATAATTAGATGTATAAAATTATTTTTCTAGCGACTATTTCATAGGTAGTCTCGAGTATAATAAAAATCTCAGATATAGTTCACTAAATTAGGAATATGATATAAGCTGATAAACGGTTAAAATAAATTATATTTAGGTAATGTAACACAATAATATATAATGATGATAAGCAGTAGTTAAAGTATTCTGATCAGAAATAAACGTTTTATCCAAAAGACATTATGATTTATAAGTTTCGTTATGCCACTGTCAAAGCCTGCCGACCGCTTCACATTCTTCAACATGACTTCAACTTATTGAGCCATGATATCTAAGAACTTCGAGTATGCACGACCAAATGCACATATCCTATCTTTCTATTATATAAGTCTTTAAAGATTTTCTTTGAATTTCGTTGTGTTAATTAGGTGTGGCTGCTATTACTACCTGCTGCCGAAAAAACCATTAGTACAAAACATTGTAAATAAGGGAATTGGTCAATACTGAGAACTATTGCTTTGCAAATTTATTTACATTTTTATTAAAAGTATTACACAAATAAATTCATATATATATTATTAAAATAACAGTTAAATGCTGACAATATTGGAAAAACTTTCAATAATTAAAATCGGTTATTGCCATTAAAATAATAATTATTTATAAATAATAATAATACACATAGATACTGTTAAGTTGCAATTGAATCGATATATAAATTAACAACTGCATTAAACTGAAGAAGATTATTGATTATTAACATCATTACAAACCTTTTTGTATGAATAAAAAAACTATTATGTAGAAAATAATTAAAAAATTTAATTGTTTATAAACATTTATGAAAAGTTAAGGCTTTAAAATAATATGTTAATTATTTCAATATTCGAATAATTAATCCTAATTTAAAAATAGAACAAATTACTCTACTCATTTGATATAAATAAAAGATCCATAAAACAATAATCGAGTTCTGGTCCAATAACTTAATTAACAAGCTGTTTGTCTAATTGATTCATATAAAACTATAAAAGTTTAGTCATTTTAAATACACTATATACACTCGTTTCGTTTTTCATTTTACATATATGTGATGTGCTTCTAAGGTATGTGAATTAATTTTTATATTTATCCTCCTTACAACTCATTATAGAGATAATGTGAAAAAATAACTAAAACAACATTATAACTGCTTTTCTAAGTAATATTTTAGATTTCAAATTTTAACTAAACGCCATAATTTACAAATTTTTACGACTGACATTTTGTTTATATTTTTTTAAAGCAAAATAAAGTATTATTTTATAAAAGACGAATACAAAATTATTAGCAAAAGTAAAATTATGCTACATTAAGATGTAAATAATATGCTATTTTATTAACAGACAGAAAAAATTTTAAATTTGTTCATAAAAAATCCTCTATTTATTTATCAGTCATATATTTAGACTTATTTTAATTAATTTTTGTATTTTTATAAATTAATTCTTGACTTTTATTTTGTTCTTTTTTTTTAAATATTACAGTACATGATTATTCTTTATATTTTTTTACTCCTTTTCTTTTTCCTATTTTTTTTATGACTGTATGTAAATATATATATATATATATATATATCAATTATCTTTTAAGAACTATTTATATTTTTTTTAATAATTGATATACAAAAAGAAATATTGAAAAATAAAAAAATATGTTTTTATAATATTGTTATTATAAATATGATGATTAAACAGAATTACTGTACATTATTTATTTTCCAGTATTATGAATTATGTAAAAATTATAATGTAAAAATTTTGTATACTTCTATTGAGATTCTGTTCATTTTAAAAAGAAAGTTTGATTTCTTTTTGAACTCTTAAAGAACAAAGTCAGTTCAAATTTGCAACTATGCATAAAATTAAATTAAATGCTTGCACAATTTAATTGTGTGTTGAAATCTCCTTTTTGCAAATTATAAAATCTACGATTTGGACAAGTTTTTCTTTAATTTAAAAAGAATAAACGTTACTTTATAGCGATATATGTTCTAAAAACTTTAACTGATAATCTTAAACCACTTAGAAATTCAGTATTTATGTTCATACTTAAATAGACTTCGATAGATCTACATTTTCATTTATAAACAAAATAGATAATTTTTTTTATATGGGTTATATAATTTTATCCTAAATCACAGAAGTCACCAATGAATTGACAATTCATATATGAAATTACTTAATATGCTAAATATTACTTAACAAAATTAAAAATACAATCAAATTTTGTAATAAAAATAATTTGACTTTTAAACCATTATACTATGAAAAAATAAGGTCAAGATAGAAATTTAATTAAAGAATAATTAAATGTAATATCTAATATGGTTGTAGTTGGTAGTCTGTAGCTGTAATTTCTATTTATATTTATTTTATCATACTACGTTTTATAAATTAAACGATTCAAATAATCTTATTTATTTTTGTATACTTTTTTTTGTAAACATAAAAATACACGACCGTAACGAAAATGATTATATTCGCATCCTACATATCACTCAACAAAACAACTCATTCATTTTATAGAAAGTGTTATGTACAAAAAATAATTATATTAATAAATATAATTTATTAATATTATTTAGTATTATTATTTATAAATATATTTTATTAATATTGATCATTTTCACAGAATTTTATTAATTTTAAACTTAAATTTATTATGAATTTTACACAAAAACTGTATTGAATTATACATATCTTTAAAATGAGTTTTTAATTATTATATTAGATAATAATAAAGAAAACTGATGTATTAGTTTTTCGTATAACGTCCATAAAATAGCGAAAAAAACCATCACCTCGTAAACATAATTATAATAATTTCATATTATTATCCAATATAAATTTTCGAAAGCCTACAAAATGATGTCTAAGATTCAACATTTGTTAAACCATATTTTATAAAGTTTTATAGTATATGATTATATAAATATGAACGACAAATATTAATATGCTTAATTGCAAATATTAAAATAAATATTATTATACTGGAGGATAATTAACATTTTTCTTTAAAAGATTTTATATTCTTTGTTTCATTCAATTTTACATTTAAACTTTTAAAAACATCATAAGAATATTGTTATTGATAGACAATCTATTGAAAGAATGTTTCCCTTCATTTTATGAAAAAAAAATATGATTTTTCTATTGTTTCAACGCACTCTTGACAATAATTATTTTATTTTTGTCACAATAAAATTCCATTAATAGCAACTAATTATTTTTCATGTTTGTTATTGTGGTACATGTTGTCATGTGGTTATTGTAAATGAATAAATAATTGAGTACACAAGCAGTTTTATTACAAATGTGAGGCTAACACCTTTTATTAAATCAGAAACCCATCCAAACTCTTGCTATGTTTCGATTTAATATATTTGATCAATTAGTGATCGCGTTGATGTTCAATTAAGGATACATGATAATTAATTTAAATATGTACGATTCTAAATACTATAAAAATTTTAAATATTTTCAATAAAAGTTCAAAACATTTATTCGCATCTACAAGGATGCCCAGAATTAAAAAAAAAATTGCTATGAATATAATGTATGAAATACGTAGGTCTGGCAAATATTTAAATTTAAATATTTCATTTAAAATAACTATGTGTTCATCTTATTAATAATTTGTTTATGAATAAATAGTAATAGAAAAACTAATAGAAAAAGAAAGATAATATAAAATTCAAATAAACTCAAGTTAAATATAAATGAATTGAGTATAATTTTTTAATAATTTTTTTTTCATAATAATTTTGCAATACTTTTAATAGTAACCAACTCTCTCTAAGAATTTACAATTTTTTTCTTCCAATGTCTATGTGTACTTCCCTTTTAATTAATATATACATAATTACTGTAAAATATCTTAGCAATAAAAAGTTGTTATATGTTAAGAAAAATTTAAATGCCAGAATAAATAACAATTCATGAGTAAAGAAATTATATTTAAAAATTTTTGCTTAAACATAAAAATGGCCATTATTATACTTATCAATTTTAAATCTTCTTCATGATTGACAAATATAACATCGATTTCGGATTCAATAAAATTACTTGTAATATATAAAAAATCATAATTATAATAACTATGTTTTAATTATGCCAACATTTTTATTATTATTATATTTAATATATTATTTTAATCGTTATCATTTAAAACAAATTATTTTATATGTGTATTAAATAATATTTAAACAATATTTGATATTCTTAAAAGGTTTGGAATTCGCTGAATTGGAATAAAATTATAATATCCAAGTAGGTAAAATACTTGGTATACTTGATAAAATAACTTGGTAATATATTGTAAATAAAATAATTAATACAATAAAATCTTTCGAAATATTCATAAAAAATTTTTTTGATTATATTATATGTACAAATTCAATTCTTAAAAATTTAGTTTTTCTATATATATAAAATAAATCAATAACTGTCCAGATATATTTAACAAAATTCTGATAAATGGTCTATAATCGATAATTTTAGACGTACATTATGTAAATAAGTTCATCAATAGGCACATGAGAATAAAAATGGAAAAATAAGTTTTCAAATACAAAAATACATTACAAAAAACATAATTACTCTTTATTTATGTAACAGTACAAATAACAATATTATTGTGCTTATATTATAATATTAAAATATAAGGAGCAAATTAATTTTAATATATTTAATAGGTAAAATATAAAAATTAAAACAATATGCCATTTTAAAATAAAATTTATTTTAAAACTGATATAAAATATTATGCTTCCATTATCAAAAAGGACGAAAATATAAGTTTAATTTTTTTTATAATGATAGAACTATTGCACTTTAGAAAATACTTAAATCTAATAGAATTAAAGAATTGTTTGTTTTTTTTTTTTATAATAGTACTGCCACTTGGTGGCAAATATAGTCTTTCTAAAGAAAGAAATTAAAAATAATTCTTAAATATTATAATTAATCAATCTCGTATTTAATTAGCAAATTTGATTTTGATCAATGCAGGAAATATTAAAAATTTCTAAAAATTTGTATTAAAATTGTCGCTTTTGTTCGACTGAATTAGCCTCTTGGATATATTCTTGATATGTTTGTACTAGCAGCTCTAGAGTATAATTGGTCCATAATTTTGTTTTATGAATAAACATTTCCATGAACCTAATACCTTCATAACGATAATATTTTAACGGTACACCCATTTGTATTTCAACATTCTTAAAAAATGTTTCGGCATGTTGCTCATCATACAATGGAAAAACGGCTATAAATGTAATTGTTAATAAAGTAAAAAAAGCTGACCACATTACTAAAGAAGTAAGAGTTTGGCATAAAATACTGCATGCCCCACCTTAAAATAATCAGATTTAAGTAATTGTAGAGAAATAATAATTTCGAATTAATAAAAGAATTTATTATGCACCTTTGTCATTTAAATCTTCCATTTTCTTAGAATATTCATTTTCTATCTTAGACTTAAGAGGTTTTGTTATATTATTTATTTCTTGATGTTGTTCTTTTTTTATATCAGAAAGCTTATCTTTCTCAAGAAGCTTTTTTTCTGCAATTTTTTTCTTTTTCTTTGCTTCTTTTTTATTATTAATTGCATTTTTTTCAGCTTCTGTGAAAAAAAAAACAGTTTTTATATAAATTTATCATTTTTAGATGAATTTAATCATCCAATATATTTACCTTGTACTGCATTTAACCGGCTTAATTTTTTTTCATTTATTGTTGCTTTAACGTTTTCAAGATATGAAACAATATTTCGAGCACAAGCCTGACATTCGCTAGCATTACTGCATGGACCTGCAATACTAGCTACTGCAGATGTTAGCGGATTCTCCTTTAAATCTAGCCATTTCAAATTTTTTAATTCACCCAAGCATAATGGTAATCTACTAATTTTATTACTGTAAAGATCCAAATGCCTTAATTGTTTTAGTTCTCCAAAATTATCAGGTATTTCTGTTAACATATTTTTACTCAAATCCAACTTAATTATTTGTGTCAATGATGCAAATGTTTTCTAAATTCAAACATAATTTTACTTGTAATAATTATACTTGTCTTAAAAATTAGTAATTGATGTAAACTAAAAGCTAATTATAAATTATGAAGTAAATACAAACGTAATAAAATAAATCTTAGTATCCATGAGTTTATATGTTTAAATAAATATTATTGATATTGAAAAACATTTCATTAAAAATATGAGTTACACGAATTTTATAAATATTTTTCTAAAGAAACTTCTACAGATATGGATACGTTTGGTTGAATCAGAGTTATATAAAAAATTATTTATCTAAATGAGATAAGAGGATAAGAATAAGATATTAGTATACTTACAGGCAATGAAATAAGAATGTTATTAGATAAATCTAAATGAGAAAATCTTTTCACAGCAGCCTAAAAGTAGAGGAGAAAAATAATTTTTAACAATTAATCTTATTAAAAATGATTTTATGTATGAATCTTCATTTTACTTACAATTTCTTTCACAGGCACTTCCTCTAAATCACATAAACTCAAATCTATAGTATCATCTTCCAATTTATCCTTTATATCTTTTACAGTCATTTTTCCTGACATAATGTATACTGTAAAAAAAAATATATATATATATATATATATAAATTCTACTAAAATAATATTTATATTATAATAAATAGGATTCGCAATTAAAAAAATTTTTTACAATTAATCGCGATACGATCACTATACCATATGTTCTTTTTTTTAAATATTTAGAATTTTAAATGAATGAAATTTTTACCGTTGTTAAGTCACTCTTTTCTATGAAAAAACAAAAAAGAAAAGGATTTTATCAAAAATGAAAAAAATTATAAATAATGTAATATTTTTCAAAAATTAAAAAATGATTAACGTAAAGCAAAGACACTTGATCCAACAGTGAATGACATTCGACTGTATAAAAATCGGCCTTGTATACGCATTTAAAGATGGCTGATCGTAAAGCATTGAATGACTCCATTGGTAACATAGAAAACTATTTCGACTTCAATATAATAAATTCTTATTTAATAAAAGTACACTTATAGTAATATAAATAATTACAATATTAATTTAATTCAATAAATGAGAATGCAACTATATGATAATTATGAAATGTAATGGTGTAATTATAAGATTTAATATCACTTAAAAAAATGTTTTATACACATTTTTAAAATGATGTGTGCGGCGTCTATGTAGCAGGGATTTGCATTATTGTCCCACCTACTTGTTAAACGGTTAGTTAATATATTAATGTACAATATTTATTTCATATTGTTTTAATGTGCAAGATAAGATAAATTTGGCCCATACATGATTATTGAGTCATTCAAAAAGCATACTCACACATTTTACCATACATATAAAAATACATACGTAGGCAATTTAATTTTGTTTAGAATTTTTTTTCTTCATAAATCGTCGTTAAACAATAAATATGGATGTGCCAGCGGTATTAACAAAACTTTTCAAGTGAGTATAAATTTCTTAATAGTTATAAATTAAATATGAAAGAAATCGTTTAGTCTTTATAAAAAATAATTTGCATATACAAACTAACATCAACAATTTTTTTTACTTCATTCAATGTTAGTTACAAATACATAATTTAAAATAAAATATAACATTTTAGTGCTTATCGTAAAACATCTATGTATAAATTCAATAGCTTTTAGTTTCAATAACCTAAAAATATATATATATATTATATATATTATATATATTAAATATGCATATTTTCTTCATTTAGAAAAGAAAAATTAAATTTAAACGTATATAAACAATATGTGAATTTATACAAATTCAACTCTTCAAATCATTATTTTATACCTTATAATAATAATAATGATAATAATAATAATAATAATAATAATAATAATATATAATTTTATAAACATTCTAAGTTGATATTTCTACTTGTAATACTTTTCAAATTGTGGAATTATATTTCACGATTGTCCTGTATAAATATCAAATTTTTATTGAATGTTCAATTGATTCTTAGTTTTTTAGTTAGACGATAAACTTATCAATTAATTTATTATAAAAGTAAACTATAAGTACTATATTTAATAGAAATATACCTTATTATAAGATATATACATTTTTTATCAATGATAGTAAACTATATTTTAATCTACGAAAATAAGACGTAATAAAAATTGTTTGCTTATCTATTAAATAGTTTCTTATAGATTTGTGATAGATAAAAATATCATAAAGTTATTACAATTATTATCAAGTTTTTATATTAGTAAACATTTACTTATTTTTAATATAGTTTTGGAAGCTTATTTCTCATTAGAACACAATTGAAACGATTTATACTTTGCATAATTTTTAAAAAAATTTCACATTTATTCGTTATTTTTTCTTGTAATATAATGATTTAAAACGACAACTAATGAGTAAATTCTTTAAATATTTGTCCTCACTGATATATTTGTGTAAATCTGTAGTTTTTTAATAACTTAATAGTTTTTAATCGTTACGCCGACCAAAAATATAATAAATTCTAGAATTGATTTTTATTTAAAAATAATTTATTTATATTTTATTTAATTTCTATTACAAATAGTATTCTTGTATTCATTTAGATTTGTTTTATTAATATAAATTTTCATCCATAAATACAGGTATATTGACTGTAACAAAGTCAAGTATATTGATAATTTGCGTCAAGTAGTTGCTATTAAATCTGTATCTGCCTGGCCAGAAAGTAGAAATGAAATTATTAAAATGATAAAATGGACAGAAGCGCAATTCAAGCAACTTGGTGCTACTACTGAATTAGCTTATCTTGGCACACAAAAATTGCATAATGGAAATGAAATTCCATTACCACCTGCATTACTTGGAACTCTTGGTACGGATCCAAAAAAAAAGACTGTTCTTATATATGGACATTTGGATGTTCAACCTGCCTTAAAAGAAGATGGCTGGGACAGCGATCCATTTACTCTTATTGAAAAAGATAATAAATTGTATGGTAGAGGAAGTACAGATGATAAAGGACCAGTTCTTTGTTGGTTACACACACTACAAGCATATCAAGCTCTTGGAGAGGACATTCCAGTTAACGTCAAGGTAATATGTAAAAGATATTTTTATAAATTAAAAAAATTAATTTAAGTTTTGAAATAATATTAATAGTATGCGAACATTTTTTAATTGGAAGCAATTATAGAATACAAATGCAAAAATAAGGATTGAATATTTATTACTTTTATATTTTTATATTTTGCTATGCCATATAACGTAAAGCAAAATATTCTAAAAATGCAATAAAATATTGTATTTAAATGTTAAATTAAAATATTAAAGTAATAATTGTTTAATGTAATACTGCTGTTATATAATTATTAAAATATAATAGTGCATTATAATTAATGAAAAAATTTGCTTTCATATTGCCTAGATAGTAAAAATAAATCATTTCGCTTAAATGAATACAAAGTTAAAACTATTTTTTAATTTCGTATAAATTTTATGCAATTAATTAAGACGTATTTTTTAAATTTTATATTATTTAAAAGAGTTAGATTTTCATCGATACTTTTTATATTATAGTTTGTATTTGAAGGAATGGAAGAAAGTGGTAGTGAAGGTCTTGATCAATTGCTTTGGTCTCGTAAAAATTCATTTTTAGAGGGAGTTGATTATGTTTGCATTTCTGATAATTACTGGCTTGGAACGACAAAACCTTGTATTACTTATGGATTACGTGGTATTTGTTACTTTCGTTTGCAAGTTTCTTGTGCATCGAAAGATCTTCACAGTGGAACATTTGGTGGAACAGTTTACGAAGCAATGCCTGATTTAATTTATTTAATGAATAGTTTAGTTGATGTTAACGGTAAAATTCTAGTAGATGAAATCTATGATTCCGTTGCAAAAATAACTCCAGATGAATTAAAAATATATGATACCATTGAATTCAATGTTAGTGAGTACAAAAACTCATGTGGAGCTTCAAAATTAGCTCATAACGAAGATAAGGTACTTTGATAACAATTCGTTATTGTAACTCGCTTAAAGCTGAGAAAAAATAATTCAAATATCTATTTAAAATTTAGAATCAACTATTAATGAATCGCTGGCGCAATCCAACCTTATCTCTTCATGGTATTGAAGGAGCATTTTATGAACCTGGTGAAAAAACTGTCATTCCAGGTACAGTAATTGGAAAGTTTTCATTGAGAATTGTACCAAATATGCTCCCTGATGAAGTAGAAAAAAAAGTTGAAACATATATTAAAAAACAATGGATGGCTCGAAGAAGTCCTAATAAAATGAGTATTTCGATGAGCCATGCTGGAAGACCCTGGTCGTCAAATCCAGATCATCCGCATTACATTGCTGCAAGAACAGCTACAAAACACGTTTACAACGTTGATCCCGATTGCACACGCGAAGGAGGCTCTATTCCTGTTGCTTTAACCTTTCAAGAGGTTACGGGCAAAAACGTTTTACTACTCCCAGTTGGATGTGGGGATGATGGTGCTCACTCTCAAAATGAAAAATTAAACGTCCGTAATTACATTGAAGGGGTCAGTATTGCATTTGCAAATGTAAATTATTGACTACATCATTGTGAAACATATTTATGCCGTTTTTTTTTTCTTTTTACAGACAAAATTGTTGGGTGCCTATCTGTATGAAGTTTCTCAAATTTAAGATGCTTTAAAACTTGAATGCTACATAAGCATTCTTTGTGATCATTTATAATTATTAAAAAAATTAGTTCCAAACTGTACTGCAAAAATTTACATATACAAATTTTATTAATTATATATTTTCAATAAAAAGAATATATTTTATTCTGTTTTTATATAGGTTTTTATAAAAATATATAATAAACTGATCAAATATTTTGTTCTAAATCCGAGTTAAATATTTCTTTAACAAAATAATATAACTTGATAAAGCTAATAATAAATTGCGTGAGTTTGTAAGTGTTTGATGATTTTAATAATGGAAATTTGTAATTTCAAGTACCCATGCTGGTTCTCCTTTATTATCTATTGATGGCAAATAAATGTCAATATATTTTTCTCTATTTCTCCACTGAAAATATGTTTTACATTACAAATAAAAAGGCATCGAAGCTAATATAAATTTATAAATATAAATTACTTACTTTAATGAGCTCGTTAGAATTTAAAAGAGATATCTTTGTCTTATCGGTCATTTTTAGAATGTTAGATAATGTCACTGTATTATTTGTAGGCCAAGAAAGTAACGTGGCGTAAAGGGCACCAGTTTTACCATGTGTATACCAAACATCTTTTGCTACGGTATCATTCTGTAATATCCATGGCCTACTTTCATAAATGGCTTTGCCATTAATTTTTAACCATCGACCTTGTAATATAAAATTATAAATTATTTTTAGATAATAATTTGACTACATTCTATGTAAATAATATTATTTTTAATACCCATGTCACGTAATCTTTCTTCAAATATCGGTGATATAATGCCATCCTTTGTAGGTCCGACATTCATCAGCAAATTTCCTCCAGTACTTACGGTAATGACCAATTCTTTAATAAGCTCTTTAAGACTAAAGTAATCTTCTAATGGCGCATTCCTACGAAAGCCCCAAGATTTTCGATCGATAGTCATAGCATTTTCCCATTTATGCTTCTGTAGAACACCTTACAAATACAATATTAAAATAAGGTACACATAACATAATATAATGTAAGCAATTATAATTTATAAATAGATTATAACTTAATTTTTATTTAAAAACCCAAAAGAAAAATTCAACCTGATTAATAGAAACAAAATGTATTTGATATTTTAATATAATATAAATATTGAAATTTCAATTGGTATTATTTTTAACTTGTTTATTTAATAATTAGAAATAGAAATAATAATAATTTTTATGAATTTTTAATTAGGATTTAAATATTTTTCGCGAATTTTATGATTATTTTTAATGAAATAAGTAATTAAACAACAATACAACAAATGCATTTGTAAATAGGCTAGTATGAATTGAGCTGCACAAATGTTATTTGCATTATTAATAATTTTTCCTAAGACAGTTATGGTAAATTTCTTACCCTAACTAATATATTCTTATTAATGTAAAATTATGAAAAATGTTAAGAGTTGTTATAAAGTGTTACCATCACAAATTTCTATTACAAATAACGTTACATCTCATTAATTCAAACGGTCAAATTGACTCGAATAAACTCGGAAAACGACCAAATAATAATATTGTAGCATAATTAATGGATTAAAATAATTATTTATGAATTAAAAATAAAGAAATATGATTTTTTTTTTTGAGTTTCATTATTACTGTACTCACGGCGTGTATTTCCACAAATTACTTTTAATAATAACTTCTTTAAGTTTTCCGGATACTTTGAAGATAATTATGTTCGTATGACTACTGGTACGACCGTAGGTTTTCCCGGGTCTCGTTATACATGTTTTCTTCATTGTTTTTATCTACTATTTCATTTTATTTGCAAAGAGCTTAATTAGTAGACTGAATTTGTAATTTTGTTTTGTAATCGATAAACTGATTACGGATCTTTATTAATAGCGATTGTCGATTCCGCATGAGATTCCAACTTTCCGTGAAAAGCAGAATTTACGGTTATTGTTTATTGCTTAGCAAAAATTGATAAATCGCTCGCATTAGTTGCAAAATATTCTTATTAATAATTTTTAAACAATTTGTATTTTAATTGACCTATCGGCGTAAAGTTTTTCTACAGTTTCAAAGTACTTCTCAAATAGTTGAACTAATTTCTTTTTTTTCGGCTTAATTCTGACCAAGTCAGGTAGTCTCTACTCTGGTATAAGTAGTACTTCATATTTTGCTTATTTAAAAATGATTAGAAAGTTGAAAATCATACTCTTTAATAATATGTAAGTAGCACAATTATAATTACTACCGCATATAGAGAGCAGACACGTCATTGTACAAGATAATATTACTTATCAAATAATTGATTACCCAATAATTAGTAGGTATTTTAAATAATAAATCGATAAACAAACGATTTTATTATCATATTATAAATTTTAAATGAATTACTAGAATTAAGCACCATTTTAAAGGTTCAAAAAAAAAAAAGTATATATCTTGAGATAAAAATTTGTTTAATAAATGAAAATACCAGGATTGTAACGATCTTGACAGTTGTAAAAGTCTCCATGTTTGCATCCAATATTTATCCCCCAACGATCATTAGTAACGACACTATCTTTAACTGGACTTTCATTGTAAAGCCAGGCTAAAAATTCTTGTGACTTCCAGTATTCTGCTGTTGCTTCCCAATCGCCATCAGACCACAATATTTGCGGCTCATATAACTCAATCATTTCTTTCATTTCTGGTATAATTTTATTTGTAACAAAAAAGTCTGTAGAAAAATTATTCTTTTTGTCTTGTAAATAGAGTGGGTTGAACCACTCAAATAAAGAATGGTAAAGACCAAATTTTAGATTTGTATGTTTTTTTATGGCTGTTGATAATTCACCTAAAATAACAAATACTTATAAATAAAGATATATCATAGAATATTGCATATAATGTAAAAATATTTGTTTAAAGTATCGCGCTAGTTCAATAATCAATATTAATTTGGACTAATTTTAAAATCTGTTGAGAAAGCTTTTCATACTTTTAATTTAGGCTTGAAAAATTTGTTATTCTTTTATCTATTAAAGTCCATATTTATTATTAGCATAAATTTATAATTAATTTATGACATTGATTAATTTTAGTTATTCTGTAAAAGCAAAACAATAGTAAAATATTTGTGTAACAGTTTGGGACTGCTAAATTAATAATATATTTTTTTCATAGCTTAAGAATTGTTATAATATGCTATATGAAGCATTGCAATATTGCAAAGTGATTAAAATACGTTTTTTTTTTTACTAAATAAAATCTTTTATGAAATAAAGTTTATCTAAATAAAACGAATGATAAAGAAAATATCTGCAATATAATTTGTAACATGATTTCCATTTATCCGTACAATATCTTAAAAATTTTAATAATTGTTATTTCTTCATGGATACTAACACTTGTAACAGAATTGCATTAGCCTACATTAAATGAAATTATACTAAATTTAATTAGTTTATGTATATTATACGAAACTATAAGAAACAGTACTATATAATATGATATTACCAATTAAATCTTTACGAGGTCCTACGTCAAGAGAATTCCAACTAAAAGAATATTTAGAGGGCCACAGTGTGTAGCCCTCGTGATGTTTACTCGTAATAACAACGTATTTTGCACCAGATGCTTCAAACAGTTCGCTCCATTTTGTAGCATTAAAAAACTCGGCTGTAAAATCATTAGCAAACTCTTGATAAGTGAAATTTGGTTTATAATGGTTTTTCATAAATCTTTCATATTTAGAATTTCCATCTAGAAATAATAGCAAAAAATAATTAATACAATAAATTTATTCTAATAATTTTATATTCTGATAATATTATTATATACTTTTCCAATTTATCCAAAACCATTCGCTACCAAAGCTTGGAACACTAAAAACTCCCCAATGAATGAAAATACCAAATTTTGCATCATCGAACCAAGTTGGCAAAGGTCGACTATCTAAACTTTTCCAAGTAGGTTCGTATTTTGTATTAAAATTATTTGTACTATTAATATTGGTCTCTATACTACTACTTTGCACAAAAATTGAATAATAAGAATTTATACTATTATAAAAACTTCCCATAAAGCACAAAAAAAGGAGACTTTGGAGGATCACCATTTTACTATAAAATAAGTCTTTTCATAATGATTAACATTAGCTTAGCGCTAAATTTATATTCTGCTTTTTATATTGCTTATCTGATAATTCTGTTTAAATATAAATTTGACATGACATTAAAACAAATAGAAGCCAATCGAATTATCTCATCTCAAACAACGGAAATTAAAAGTATTATAAACTGATCTTTAATAAAAAAATAATTCAACCATTATTTATTGGTTTATTAGTTATTAATTAATTATTCATTTAAAGAAATATTGATAAAGAATTGTTGGAATTAAAATCCCCTCGTGCCACAAAATGTAATTAATTAAACAATGCCGGCACTAACCACTATCTCATCCATAGCGGAGCCACTGAAATTGTTCGTTCGACAATGTTTCATGCTAACCGATTATATCTATATAAAAGAAAATGACGACATAATGAATATTAATATATTTTTATGTTAACAATGGTTAGATGACATGATGAACTTTTACAGGAGCTTAGGAATTCGAAACTAATTGGTTTGTCTTTTCTCGGATTCAGTCGTAGCGCTAATACAGCAAATTGTTACAACTAATTAAAAGCAAAATGTCAACGTTTCCATAAATTTTAATAAATTCACATCTAATTCTTTATAAATCTTGTTTATTCATATGAATTTCGAACTGTACATAAATGTTTAACGTTAATAGTATTATTATTTTACATTTTTGATACGTTTTTTAAATACCAATTTAAATATAAAACGTTAATAAGAATTTAATTACCTCTCTAGTGATTTTATTCTTGTTCAGAGATAAAGAGAAAGTAATATAACAGAAAAAAGATATATTACCGCACGTACGTACATAGATATTATATATACATATTATCCTATTATTTTATTATTATTCATAATTTTATAGATAAGATAAAATTTAACAACATTTAATTCTCATTGTTAGTTTTTATATTATGAAGAGAATTTTCAAATATTGCTGATAAAATTTCTTCTTCTATTCTAATTAATATATCTTTCCAGAATTGACTTCAAACTTTAAGAAAACATTTGTTTAAATGAACAAACTTTTCAACTCGAGTTTTACATTGATTTTGTTTTATTAGTGTAATTATAACATTGTTTAGTTAACTTTTTGTCTATCATTTCTGAATTATATTTACGATTCATTGTATATTCATTTATCGTATAGTAATCTAAATAAATATTACTAAACGAGTAATATTTCTTTATTATCGGTCTTTATTATTGGAAAACACTGAACGATCGCGTATTCATTTTGCGCGCGTTTGCGCAAGAGAATGAACGTCAATTGTGCATGAGAGAAGAGTTCGCTCTCTAGTATCACAATTATCCTATAATTTCAATTATCAATGCTCTCGGTAATGTGTAATAATACTATTATAACCTTCAATAAAGTAAGATTCGTAAATTGTTCCTATTATTTTCTTTCACAACTATTGAATCTAAATTTATTGATATTAAAATTCAGGATTTTATGTCACTAAAAAGCTATAAGCTATTTTATGTGGGATGAGTGAGTAGATAAATTGAAATGTAATTAAAAATTTTGAAATCTAAATATAAAATAAGAAGAGAATTTAACCTAATAAGATTTTTATCCAAATCATTATAAAAAATGTATAAAGTTAACGGATATTAAGTTTACTTAGATATTTGATTGATAAGATATTTAAAAAAATTCCCAATACATAGTTTTATTATTTTATTTTTGGAATTTCCATGATAAATAACAAAACTAATGATTTATGAATTATGAATATTATTTACATAATTAGGTTCACCAAACAAAAACGAAAATGATTCCACGGATTCAGAACTCGAGGATGAAATTCAGGTTCAGGATTCTGATTGCGATGCGTCGGATAGTAACGAAGGCAATAATTCCATATTAATGTCAAGATTGACATATGTTCCCATACCAGAGGAACGATTGGTAATAAATGTTATCGATGCGACTGCAGTTTTTCAATAGTAAAGTATCGTTAATTTTTTATTTAGAAATTAGCCAATATGTTTATTGAAGTACAGCATGATGTACCTCCGCAACATAGAGTGGAAGAAACCGCAGGTACTCGTACTTTGAAGAACAGAGAGAGAGAGAAAATTGAAAAATATGTTTCTTTAAAATCTGGTACATTCTCTAAAGAGGAAGATAAGCTAATTAAAAGGAATTGGAAAACTTTCTGCAAGGTAAACTCAAATATATTTCATATTTGTTGTTTGCTTTATATGTAATTAAAAAAATTTATAATTTCGAAAGCGTGTTATTGAAACAAATAATTATTAGAACAATAAAGATATTTAAAATTAAGGCTAATTTGTAAACAAAACAAAAAAAATGTTTAACTTAAATATTATATATTTCAGTTATACGAGTGGGATCCTAAAAATCCAAAACCATTTTTACAAATGAAATTAAAAAATAAAGTCTTTTTCCTGAATTTAAGAAATAGAAAAAAGTTTGTTCAATTTCTAGCTAATGGACTTTTTGACAGATCTTTGTATAGTGTTTATAATAGATTCAAAGTAATGTATGATCCCCACAAAGTATCCAGGTATAATTTAATATTATTATGTGAAAGTAATTGTTATTTTACTTCATTGATTACTTAAGTTTAAATTTTGTAGATACAGCGAATATGAAGATAAAATAATTTTGAATTCCTTACAAAATTCTAAAGTTACGATTAATAATCGTAAGTTTGCAGATTTAGCTTTAACTTTAAAAAGAACGAGACACTCCGTGTGGCGTCGGTATCGTTTGTTAAAAAAAAAATATAAATTAGAATCTGTGGACCATAAATCTTGATGATTATTCCAATTTCATCAATTTATAATCAATAATTTTTTGCAATTGGAAAATATTTGTATTAATAGTTATTAATATTTTCATTATACAACAGTTGTTATTTTATTAACAAACAATATTAATGTTTGTATTCAAATACAAGATCATTTTCATTTAATAATAAATTTAATGTATTGTTGTTAACAAGGACAAAGAACAGAGAAAAAAGCAATCAACTTTTAACATTTTAATATCGAAGATAGCATCTTTCTTTTATACAACAAAATTGAGATGCTATTTAAATTTTCAATTGACCATCCAGTGTACTTATGAGCTTTTCAATGTCGCTCGTAGTATCATAATTTTGTAGTTTGAAATCAATCATCAGATTACTTCACATGCTCAATAATATGTAAATAAAAAGATTTTATAACATAATTACAGGCTTGTATATAAGAATTGATTCTTTGCAAAATATTTTTTTTATCAATAATTTAAAATATTAAAATAGAAAATTTCATTCGACTAAAATAAAAGATATGATAATACAAAATAATATACTGTTTATGAATTATTATAATGGTATATAATATTTTAGTATAATTTTTTATCTTTACTTTTTTATCTTTACTAAACAAAATGTCTATTTAAAATATATTAGTTTTTAGTTTTCAAATTAAATCGTAATATAAAAAGCAGCTTTTAATGTTTTTGTATGTTATTAAATATTTATTTAATTATAGTACAATAAAAATCGTTAGTATTTGTCAACTAAAGTAATTGTAAAAAAGCCGCTTAACAATTTGTATTAAATGGTATAGTAATAATGAATCTAAAGTAAAGAGTAACATAATAGTTTATAAAAAGGGAAAAATGCATACAATAATGGTTCTTGTATTCAATTTCAGTCGTAAGATACGTAATCGATAATAAAGTACTGGACGTATATATTTTGAAACAAATCAGTTTGAGATTTCTTCAAAACATCTGACCTATCACAGCAAGCGACCGCACCGCGGATTGCACATTATTAACATGGATATGATGAGCTACCGTGTGATGATGGTCTTCCACCACCATCTCAGTATACTGTACTCTGCATCGCTTCTGATGAGCAAAGAGACTCCCACTGTGACTGTATGCCGCTCCACAAGTCTTACAAACATAAGGCTTCTCCCCGGAATGTGTATACGTGTGCTCTTTTAATGTACTTAGTCGTTTAAAGGCTTTTCCGCACGTTTTGCAAAGATAATTGGCTTCACCCGTATGACGTGTCAAGTGCCGCCTAAATGCAGAACTAACAGCAAAGGCTGCACTGCATACATGACAAACAAAAGGCTTATCACCAGTGTGAATACGAATGTGATTAGCCAAGCTCGTAGTCGTAGTGAAACCACTGTTACATGTTTTGCATACATGTGGTTTAATTCCTGTATGAGTTCTCATGTGATAAGTGAGAGAAGAATTACTAGGATATACTTTACTACAGATATGACAAAGATACTCGCGTGGTACTTTTTCTTTAGGCTTGTTATGAGTTTTTTGATGAAGAGTGAGCCGAGCTCGACTAGCACAAACTTTTTTACATATTTCACAAATTGCTGGTTCTGGTTTAGGTTTATGCATAGCAACGTGTCTTCGAAGACCCTTCTTTGTAGCCATTACCTTGTCGCAATGTTGACACTTATACTCACCATTACCTTCTTCTTCGCTTTCTTCTTTCCTTACATTATCATTTTCTATTGTATTACTGTTTGCGGCATGTGCAAATAGATCATCATCGGAGTCATACAATTTATTATCATCAGCAAGATTGTCGAGTAATCCATGCCCATGTCTTTCTGCATGTTTTTTTAATGTATCTGGTCGGAAAAACCATTTTTTACAGACTGTACAAGAATACTTTCTTTCTCCATGAATAAGGGCATGACGTTTTAGATTTTTTAATGTCGAACAATACTGACCACATACTTCGCATTTAAATATCTCTGGTGCATTTTCAAAGCCATCGGGTTCATTACCATTTCCACTTTCGTCTTCCGTATCATCTTCACTTTTTGAATTTTTTTTATCATTTATTTCTTCTTTTTGATCATCGGAGTTAATTTGTTTTATAATATTATTAACTTTATCAGTGTGAGATTTTAAATGCTTAACCAAGCTATGAGATTTTGAAAAACTGGCGTGACATAACTGACAAGCGTGTGGTTTTTTTGTATGAATATGCTTATGTTTATCTAAATTTTCAAGCTTGCAAAATGTTTTCAAGCAAATCTCGCATTTATACTGTTTTTCATGGATTAACTGATGTTTTTTTAAACCCTTTTGGGTACTATAACATTTTGAACACGTATCGCATTTAAACTTTGTCTCTTCTTGATTTTGACTGTCACTATCGGGTCCGAAATAATCATGTTCAATTTCCTGACTTTCAAAAGTATTACTGTCTATAGTTTTCAATTTTCTGCACGACGTTCGTTTTTCTAAACTATTTTCTTCTTCATCGATAGTTTCATGATCATCTTTTGTCATGTAAGTATAATAACTAACATCATTTTTTACTCCATTATCTGGTGTATTTATATGTGCTTCTATATTACAAACACTATCGATTAAATTTGTCGTAACTGGAATTAATTCTTGTGTACACGTTACCGACTGCGTATCACAAGGTACGACTTCGGAATTTTTATCAACATCCTTAGATTGCTCATCAAAATTCAGATGACAATTAAAAAGTTTTTCTTCTTCAACTGATATAGTTACGTCAACAGGCATTGTTGATTCAATTGCTGTAACAACTGCATTATTCTGCGCTTCTGGATTGTATTCCTCGTTTGATATTGCATTATGAAACTGCTGATTATTCATTACTTCTTGTTTTACAAAATAATGATTTTGTAATTCTTCGGCAGTTTTTGTTAAAAGAACTTGAGTTTGTAGATCAGTTTGGGTGCCAGAATCCTGCAAGTAATAATTTAATAATTTATAGCATTATTAATTAGACGTAAATAGAAAAGTTTTGTTTTACTTGAAAAATACTCGTATGAAAAATGAAACAATTATTAATTAATGAAAATAACTTAAGGTAAATTTATAAAATATTGATTAATTTATATTTTTTACTTTAACAAAGCAATATATTTCGCAATAAACAACGGTAGACTCAAATTTAATCTATAATTATAACTTGGCATTAAATGATTAATATTCAAATCATTATTTAACTTACAATAGCATTAAATTTAGCAGGTTTGTTGTAATAAAGCCGCAATCTAGTATCAGAATGTTGGCATAATTGTCTAAATTCATGAGCAACGCTTGCTTTGTATATACAAACATCGCAGATCATAGCAGGTAAGCCATCGTGCTCATGACACTCAACAGCTCCGCAGACTTGAATTTTCTGCGGTAAATCCGAAAGACTACCTACATCTTGCTCATTGCAAAAAATAGGTGATAAATTTGTATTCTCTTGTAAACAAATGCGACAAACTCTATCCATGTTCATTGGCATGACAAAATAACCATTATTTATTGCCATTATTGCTGGCTTATATAGGAACTATAATCTGTAAAAATTGCAAATAACGCAAATGAAAATTTTTTATAAAATATAAAATATTTGTTAATTATTTAATTTTTTTTTTTTTTTTTATTAGGCACAAATCTTTATTTAAATATTAATAATAGACAACGATATAAAATAACAATGCAATAATAGTTCATATTGAGTAATAATTATAAACGTTTATATTAAATATTAATTTTACTTTATTTCAAATTTGAACAGATTACTCATTACTAAGAAAATTTCAATAATTTTAATTTAGTCTGAAAAATTTATCTTTATTAATTTTAACTTATTGATAAAATGTTTAATATTGAATATTCGATTAAATATAAATATGTTTATTTATTTATAGTTATTATAAACATATTATAAAAATTATTTAAATATATACTAAGGAATTATATCATAATATATATATTATTTATATATACGTATATGCATTGATGTGTGTACACATGTATATATATATATATATATATATATATATATATATATGTATATGCAAATACATGCACACACA